AGTACCAGTACCAGTGTTAGACGTGACTTCTCTTTTTTCTTTGTCAGCAACAACACACCACAGTTGTCTTCTTTTGTAAATTTAGCTCTCTTTGTCATCATCTAAAGCAGCGTAAAACTATTATGATAATTACAATGGCAAACTCACAGAAAGCATGCATAATTTACTAATTTAAAATACTCCACAGTTTTATTTCCATCTATTCATCCTTTGCCTCAATTCACTTGCAGGGTTGTAACAGTTGAACTGTTGCAAGCTGTCTAAAAAACCATAAATGAGTCAAGGTCAGCAGCAAAGGTCAGTCTAAGACTGATCAGTTTTTAGTTTAAAGTGGGAGTTTAAAATGTCCGATGATGAGCTGTAAACAGGAAAAACATGGTTCAGTCCAAGTCAAATTGATTGGATTCAGTCCGGTAGCTTTGATCTGACTCTCATTCAGTTAAATCCAGTTAATCAAATAGAATTAGATTCTCTTTGATTAGATTCAGTGCAGCCAAATTCAATTGAATTAAATCAATTTCAGTGCAGCTTGATTCTGTTCAATGTAGTTCAGTCCAACATCTTTGATTCATATCAGTCCTTCTCTGTCCACTTGAACTTCATCCAGTTGGTTTTCAGTTATTTCAATCTAATTAGCCTAGATCGTTTTCTCTAAATTAGAATTATAATATTCTATTAATTATAAGTCAGTCAAACTTGATTGGTTTTCATTCAGTTCTTCTCGCTAAATAAATATGTTAATGTTTCTAAATATGTTTGCATGTACATAGAATCTCTTTCCATCCTCTGGCATTCAACCAATGCCTTCTCTGTAGTATAAGTGCAAAAACTGGCACCGAAGTAGAGTTTCAGATTTGAAAAAAACATTTGCATTTTCTTCCACTCATGAATTCGTGCATTTTTGTCATCAGAATGTTTGATCTGATTTGTATTCTAATGGGGAGTAACCTCCATGTAATGCAAAAAGGAAAAAACATTTTAAGGTTTAACAGAATTTATTCCAATCAAATATAACAGAACAATTGATAATGAGCAAATCATACAGAGAAAATATTGAATTCCTATACCTCAAGGATTGTTCTCCTCCATCAGCCAAAGAAAAGAGACCCCCCTAACTGCATTTTCTTTTTTTTTTTCTTTTTGCAGAGCTGGCCTTCCTGATCAGCTTCTCCGGCTGCTTTCTCTTATATTCTCCATATATAAGATTGTAGTTTTACAGTGAATCTTTTGGATTCAACCACAAACCTGAATGTTATTTTTCAGATTTTTTCAGATTTTACAATAGAGGTGAAATGTTTTTTTTTTGTTTTTTTTACACATACATGTGAAGAGTGTGGTCTGCATCTGTTTTACACATCCTACTTCATGAACAGACTCCAACTGTGAGTAATTTAATCTCAGTATAAGTTCTCAGTTCTACAAAAGTCTCCAAGATTTGCTAGAGAATATTAATGAACAAACAACATGATGACCAAAGAACACACAAACAGGTTAGAAATAACCTGTTTTTGCACAGCTTAAATCCCTTTAGATAATGTTTTTACATGTATTATTTGCAGTCTTTATTTGCTCCTTGTGTTTTTACATCTATGCTGCCCAACTAACTGCATTTTCACCCCCTCATATACTAAAACCACACCTCCTGAGTCACCACCAGTCTCACCCAAATTCAAGGATTGTATTCTCCTGTTTTGGCCCCCAGATCACATTATGTCCATTTAAGGTAACAGGAATAAACGGAGCAGCATGCATCTAACAGTATACAGCTCACATTCCTAATCTATCTCTAATAAGAATATGAGCTGTGAGTTGATGAAGGCACCTCACATGAAAGATAAAAACACAAATCAATTAGTGTGTTGCTTTTTTTTTTTTTTTTTTTTTCCTGATCTTCGCTAGAAACAAGCTTCTGCTTGTTTTAAGACCTTCTGAATATTAGGGTCTGTTTGTACTTCTAGATAGAACAGTATTTTTTGACAATGATTTCTCACATTTTAGATGATTTTCTAACTATTCAGAATGTTCAGCAAAAAACACAAAGACATTTTACTGACTGATATGTAACATCAAGGAGAGTTTCCCACAGGAAGACCTGAAAGTTGGCTGCAAACTGACTGAATAACTCTGCCTTTGCAGGATATTCTTTACATCAGTTGCTGCGCTCAAAACACACCTCAATGGCCTATCTCCTTCTTCTAGCCCCCTCCCAGCTATCGTTTCAATTTTACTGCTAAAAACCACTCTTTATGTTGTTTTTTTATTCCCAGAAAAATGCACTGCAAATGTCATCTATTATTGATATGTTCTGATATTGAGGCCTTGGGATAGTGCTATTTGTTTTTAGCTCTATCAGAGAGTGACCTGCAGCACTTTAGTCCTGGAAAATTCACACGTTCCCCTGCTTCTGTTTTTTATGGGTCGTTTAAAATAACCTGATGATCCAGGCGGATGTGTTCAACGATATACTGCTTTATTTCTGTTTCTTTTTTTTTTTCTTTCCTCCAGCTCCAACAATGCAGAGGTGTTTCAGGAGCACTATTGCAAAATAGTTTACGTTTGCTGCAGCTGATGAAAAATTGATGGATTCTTTATATTTGTGTGCATTTGCAGAGCATCTTTGCTCAGTTCCAGTTCAGCAGCGAGCGTGTTCTGCCGTCGGACGCACTGCGGAGCGCTCTGGCCAAGACTTTCCAAGACGAACAGCGGTTTCAGCTGGGCATCATGGACGACGCTGCTGAATGTTTTGTGAGTCTGCAGCAGTGACATTGCTTCACACACACACACACACACATGCAGCTGTTTGTATAAGACTGCAGATATATCTCACTTTATGACCAGTTATTTTTCTTAGAAAAGTCAAGGACAAAAGTAATCATTAGAAAGAACAAATTTTAGCTGCTTCCAATCTTTGTCTTATCTTAGTCTGGATGCTGGTACCATGCAGAAGCGTTTTCCACTTGGTTCACATGTAAAGTAATTCATTATATTTTGTCAAGAACCCAGTCATGTCGCATGAATAAAACATGATGCTTGAGTGTATTGGGATCAATAGTGTAAAATTCAATGCAGCATTTCTGTCTCTGTCCATATTAAATAATTGTCCAACAACATTAGGCAGTAATCTAGTTGTAAAAAAAGAAAAGATGTTTTTGGAAGTATGTAAAGCTTAATTAATATAGTCTATTAACCTAAAGTAAGCGGAACGGAAAGTAAGCTTGTTTGCAAACAGCAATTTTTAAACAGAGCGTGCACGAAGAGCAAATGAGCTCGTGCATGCTCTCGCACGCGTTTAATAGACGTTCCCTCTCGAGAGCGGGTACAGGGTTGTGAATGTGCCTTTTTTTTGTTAGTGGACAGGGTAGGTCTTTTCAGACTTTGCAAAAATCCATTATATTTTTTTAAGTTGCAACATGTGAAATCAGTTACGAAATGTTTTAGAGGTATGAAACTGTTTTTTGTTTTGTTGGTAAATTTATGTTGAATTAAAATAAAATTCGCTCTTTGTTTTTTTTGGTTTAAGTGGATAAAAAAATGTACTGACCCATTTAAAAAAAAAAAAACGTACTGGTGCATTTAGTTCTATGTGAAGCAGGTCCAAAGATAATGTAGCTTTTATGTCATTTTTAGAGATGGAACATATTTTAACTTCTTGTGATGCATCTCTGTGAATTTCTTTTGTTTTCCCTCCTTCAATGGTCTTCAAACTGAGGAGCATTTGTACCGAAGTGAAGGCATTTTGGTTTTTCTCATTTCCTTTTTTCTTAAAGCTTAGGTTTTGGACTAGTTTAATTGAGTTTAAGTTAAATTAAGGTTGGGCATGGTCTGGTAATTAGGTTTAGAGTTGTTGTCATGGTTATGGCATAGAAAGGGTTGAAAATGACTGAAAATCAATGCTACTCAATGCGAGTCAACATACGGTCCTCACTACATATACCAAAATGAGAATGTGTGTATATGTTTTATGTGGGCTTCCAAAAGGTGTTGTCTGATCGATTGGTAGTAAATGTGTTCAGTCAGGGAATCCGTCGGCTTCTTATGAAATATAGATGCTGCTCCGACGGTCAGATTAACAAGAGCACCAGCAGAGAGGAGCAATCAAACCCACACGCACACAAGGCCACACACGCATACATGTACAGCGCAGCTATATCCATAAAACCACTCAGCTCGTATGTGTAAACGTTTCTGTGTTGCACGTTTTCCAGGAGAATCTGCTGATGCGTATCCACTTCCACATCAGCGCAGAGAGCAGGGAGGACATCTGCACAGCCAAACACTGCATCCCTCACCAGAAGTTTGCCATGACTCTTTTTGAACAAGTAAGTACTCAAAAGGGAAGTGCAGTTAAGTAAAAAAATGTATGGTTTATGAAAAGATATTGTTTTTCACTTTACATTCTTCTCATCAACACACCCACCACACGATGCGCAAATATGTTTATAATTGATGCAATGGCTATTAAAAAAACAGTAAAATGCTGTTATGTCATTAAGAAATTCATTATAAATGTCAAAAAGGGATAGTCGGAAGAAAATAAAATGTTAGTGAGATATTGACATGAAAGGCTTAAGTAATCCCCACCTCCAAACAAATCCAAACAACTTCATACATTAAGGTAATTTGAAATAAAGTGCAAAAGCAAATACATTGCTGACTATTATAAAAAATAATTTGAAACTTAGTTGGGTAACCTTGGTAGAAACACATCCCAGAAGCTGTAACTGCAGTAAAAGGTGGTTTCATAAATTGATTAATGTTTTCCAGTAAAGAATTAGCAAAACAGCTTTGTATTAAAGCTTCTTAAAATAAAAGAAAGATTTCACAGCTTAATAAAGGTGTTGATGAGTCCAAAGTTAAAATAGGGTCTGTGCATTCAATAAAGACAGCTTAGAAAGATGGTTTCTTTTCACCTCCTAAAGCAGAAACTGAGAAAAGATTTTCATTTAATTACTTTAGACTAAATAAGGAAATGGAAGAAAATTTCAAATAACATAGAAAGCAGCCTACCTTGTAAAGCTCTAAAGCTTAAGAAGAAAACTTTAAAATGAAATCTAAATCTGACTGGTGACTGGTATAAAACAAGGATTAAATCAGGGGTTTTTCAATCCTTTTCATTCCTGAGCCTTTAGGATTAATAGAAAGGCTGTGCAAGAACCTTTTTCCATATCTCAGTCTTGTTTTTTTTTCAATTTGGATAAATATATATATATATATATATATATATATATATATATAATGAAGAAAACGTATACACATTTTTTAAGGTTTGATGTCTTTTCTGATATCTATAATATTAGACTAAAGCTACACTTGTTATTTTTAAATACACACATTTTATGAGAATAAGTATTGTAATGTTATCTTCTACAGTACTCTGAAAAGGTTATTTAGGTTTTTTGGCCTTGGACTGATTTTATTTAGCTCAAAAATGGCACTTTAGATTATCAAGGTAAAACGCACTGAAGTGCATATAAGTTTGCAGCGGTCATTGGAGGAATTGGACAACTTTTAGCGGAATGCACCTTTAATAGAGACCCTAATCAATAGCCTCAACTTATTTCTAGCATCTTCTAACACAAACTTAGCTTTCAAATGTCATGATCGGTTTTACGAATCTGACCCACATGCAGAGAAACCACTCAGAGCATGGTAAAAGTTTAACAAGTTTATTGAGGGAGTAAAACTGGAGTTGGATCTGGAACTCTGTGAGCTGGTGACCCGGAACTGGAAGTGAGAAGGGAAGTTTAGTGGTCAGTTCAGGGACCGTGGGAATCTTGGAAGCACTTAGATTATGCTAGAATGGGACTCACGTTTGAGGGAGGCCTTGTTTGTCCTTGAATCCAGTCTGTGTGGTAAATCCAGAGAATAGTGCACATGTTAGAGGGTGGACAGGTAGACAAGCGTTCGACCCGGAGGAGTAATGGAGCAGACTGTCACTCGGATTTCCGATGGGTACTTGAACGGAACATGTGGATGTTTTCCCCTGCTCAGTGTAACTCGGTTTTTCCTTCCAGGGGGGAGAAGGTCCAGGAATCCAGTATAACAGGAAAGCTACCTGTCGGGGAGTAAAGACAAAAAACTCGTTAGACTGAGAGAAACAAAGCTAGGTTAGACTCAGCTGAACTCAGCTTGGCTAGAGTACCCAAAACTGGCAAACTCTCTGGCGTCGAGGTAGTGACAGCCCACTGCTCAAATACTCCTCCAGATAATGATCCAATGAGCCGCAGGTGTGCAGGGAGGGATAGCGAAGACAGGGCACCTCCTGGTGGTGGAAAAAGGAAACACACAAACTGGATTCCTAACATCAAATATATATATATATATATATATATA